TAATCTCAGCACTGGGGTGGCTCAGACAGGAAAGTCACTAAGAGTCTGAGCTGCTTAGCAAGATCCTGTACCAAATAAATAAATAATATGATCTATTTTTTTTTTTTTTTTTTTTTTTTTAGCAGAACCAGGGATTGAACTCATGCCCTTCCATTTGCCAGGCAGGCACCTATTGTACTGGGCCATCTCCCCTCCCCCAAAAGATCTACTTTTTGCTCATATCTTGAGACTGCAAGAGACAGATTAGTGACAGTAGACTACCTAATCTTGTGAAGAATTTCAAACGACCCCAAAGTCTGAATGTGGCATGTGAACACTTGGGGAATCTGTCACTTCTATGTCAAGAATCAAGAACAAAGTATACAGCTGAGTGATTGAAACAGTTTTGAGTTTCGCCAGAAAGGAAGTTCTGGCAATGTTAGGGCCTATGAAACCTATGATAAAAAATGTTTTCAGTTCATCCTTTCTCTGTCAATAAGGGTCTCCCTGTCATTGTTTAAAAGTATTATATTTTTATGCTTTTTAAAATGTAGCTTTTCTTTTTATATATGTATATATTATAAAAACTGGGTCTTGTTTTGTTTTGTTTTATTGAGATAGGGTTTTACTAAGTAGTGTAAACTGGCCTTGAACTCACTTTGTAGTCCAGGCTGGCTTCAAAAAAATTGTAATCCTCCTGCTTCATCCTCCTGAGTGCTGGGATTACAGGTCTACACCACCATGCCTGGTTTAAATGTATTTGTTGAATGCAGTATATTGTTGCATCTTGTTTCTTATTCCATTCTGCCATTTTCTTTTTTGAATGGTAAATTGAGTCCACTTACATTTTAGGTTACAACTGATATGTATTGGGTTGTCTTTCTCATATAATTTTCCCATTCATAATGTACTGCTTTCCAATGTGGTTAATTCCTTCTCCTGCCTAATGGCTTTTTCTATTGGTTCTCATGGAATTGTACAACTTTTTGCCTTTCTAAAATATCTTTCTGAACCCTTCATAGAGTTAGTTTAGCATCATGAATTTTTTCAGTTCTTTGTCGTGGAAGTATTTTAATTTGCCCTTAATTTTCTTTTTTTCCTTTTTTTTTTTTTTTTTTTGCGGACCCGGGGATTGAACTCAGGCCCTTGCGCTTGCCAGGGAAGCGCTTATTTTACTGAGCCATCTCCCTGACTCCATTTCCCTTAATTTTTAAAGATAATTTTATAGTATTCATCAATTTGGATTGGAACTTGTTTTCATGCGGGGCTTGAAGCACTTCACTCAAAGGTCTCCTTGACTTAAGAGTTTCTGTTGAGAAGTTTGCTGTGATTCTGATGGGCTTTCTTTTATAGGTCATTTGTTTCTTTTCTCTAACAGCCTTTAATATTTTCTTATTTTACTGAATATCTGAAAGTTTGATTATTGTATATCTTTGTGTAGATCTAATTTGGTCATGACTAATTAGAGTTCTGTATGCCTCACTTTTCTGTATCTTGGTCTTTTTCCATGCGTGGGAAGTTTTCTGTTATTTCTTCTCTGAACACATTTTATATACCATTTGTGCTGACTCACATTTTTTTTAGTCCAATCAATCTTACTTTGTTCTTTGCACTGTCTTTCAGTAGTTGGATATTTTTTAATGGTCTCTTGCTATATTTAAGAGATCTGTTTTTGTAATTGCTTACCAGAATCCTGTCTTCTACGTGTTATATTTTATTTCCACCTTCTTCCACATGGTTTTGCAAACCTTCAATGGCATTTTGAATTTCCTTGCTATCTATTTGAATCTCTTACATGGATTCCATTCTTTTCCTGTGATGGGCATTTATGGTTTTCATTATTTTTCTATGCTCCTCTTTTCTTGTTTACTGAGCCATCTCTCTGACCCTTCCTCTTTTCTTTTTTAATCTATGTCTAATCTATACTCTCTGAGCAAGTTCTTCTTTGTGGTCATCAATTATGGTCATCATCTCTCTTTATGTGTGAGGTAATTCTTTTGTGTGTGAGAAAATTTCTGTTTTGATATTTTTCTATAACTTTATGCAATTTTAAATATTTTATAA